TTTTTAATTTTATTTTTTTTTATTTTTCTTAAATGTTTGATTCTCTTTATGTGCTATGTGCCATATGAATTTGTGTTCATACCCAAAATATATGGCAGATTTACGGAATGGATTACATTTCTGGTACATTTGACTAAGAGGTGAATGACTGACACCATGTCGTTCGCTTTCGGTTTCGGTTTCGATTTCAATTTCGGTTTCGTTCTTCTTCGATCGATAAATTGTATCAGAAGATATTGATTTCTGATTTTTGGCAGAACTGCGTGGGCTTTCACACATACCTTTTTCAAAAAAAAAAAAAAAAATACTAAATAAATTTAATCAGTGTCAAAATATAAATTTTTAATAAATTGTAGCAATTAAATTCATAAACAAAACAACATTTGGCATGAATCACTTGTACTAAAAGCATTTTTGATAATTTACAAGTCGAGAAAAAAAATTAAACACAAATTAAGTAAATTTTTTTATTTTTTTTTAAAAATTTAAAAATTCATTGTCATTCATGTGCAATGCAAAAAAATGTACATATTATTAGAATGAATTCATTTAAAATTAATATGCATGTATTTTAAGCTCAATGAGAACATACCTTAAAAATGCAAAAATTCTTCAAATTGAAGGTGCAATAAGTGCATTTCCTTATATGTAAACATACACATACCAATGTCATTCATTTATCATCCTACAAGATTTCCTATATCAGCAAAAAAAAAAACTAACATCTTTATCTTACAGTAAACATATATGGTGATTATATTCTATTATATATCTCAATGGTTTTGATAGAAGTTATCATGATAATGAAAAAGAAACATCTGCAAATTCTCCTTTCTAAAATACTGAATAAAAATCATAGCAAATCAATCTATGATAAGAGGAATATTACTTACTAACTTAACTAGTTCTAAAAAGTCGTTGCCGAGTTTCGAACTTACGCAACTTTTGACTGTAGTCGTCTCTGCTTCATGCGCTCTTTCTTTAGTCTTCGTAATTAAAGCGTAGTTCTCTCTCAATCTGATCGCTTCTAAGAAGTCACGTTATCATGTGACATACGATAAACATTGCATTGTCGTGATAAAATAAAATCTTTTCGTTTTAAAAAGTCGAAAGTACTATTTCGCAATTATCTTGGATAATACGAAATTATCTACGTCTTCCTTGGAACATATTCATCATGTAAAATCCAATCTTTTGATTTTTTTCTTTTTTAAGATAGTAAAATATCCAAATCTTATCTATATTTACAAATCGTTTCAGAAGCTCTTTTGGATTGTATTGAAAAATTTGAAAATTCTGCTTAAAAGTAATTACATGACTATATGTTTTCGGTCCAATGACAAGAAATGCGACACCTATCTTGGTGAGAACTTTTTCATGCGAAAATGCTCTTGTAAATTATTATTATTATTATTATTATTATTATTATTATTATTACACTTGATATTGTTTCAGTAATATAGTAGTCAACTAATTTTTAATACCAGATAACGGCTTTGATTCATTACATTCGTAATTGTTACCTCATTTGTGCGTTCGTGCAACACAGCATCTTTGGAACTTATATTACCATAACTACTTTTCTGACATTTCATATAATGTTGAAGTGTATATAGCTTGTCAAATTTTATTTATTTAGAAAAAAATTTTTTTTCTAATAGTTGTGCTTAATTTCCACATTAATTTGTCGTTTCTCTATTTTTGCAAATTCACCAAAGTTTGGCTTCACATACCTAAGAAATAATCTATAGTCAAATTTTTAATATTTTTAGTACAGCTATTATCGTCTAAAAAGTATCTCCGTACCTTAGTATATGATTTTAATAATGAATGTTCTCAGTTCTGGGCATCTCGTATCCTCAGGGCACAATACAATTCAAAGATCTCAATCAAATGTAATTATACAATACAAACCAATCTATTTCATTATACTTTGCTATACAGAGTATAAAATCAGTTTTTCAAAATAAATGTATGGTGCATAATACCTCACTAAAAGAGGAATAGAAATCTCTACTCTCATAAATAATAAAACACAAAATAAACTTTTTTTTAAATTCATTGAAGACCTCTTTTGACACTTAATAGAATAACACAATTTTTAATAATTTTTTTACTTATACTTGCTATTAAATATTATACCTTATCAGCTAATCAAAATTTAGAAATAATGTTTCTCTCTTTATATAAAATCATATATAATTCACACATCATATGAATTAATGATAATAGACAAACAAAAAAATTCTCAAAAATTGTATCTTATGTATGAATATATGTATGAATGATAAAAAATGTAAAACCATAAACTATAAGAAATATTTGACTAAGTTAAGAAGGCAATAATTTTATGTGAAATATAAAAAGTGTCATAAAATTTGAGCTCATGATTACTAGAATTTACGATTTTTTAACAAAGGCCCAAATTGTCTAAACAAGGCTTTTATTAAAAAACCGCTTAGTAATAAGAATAGAATATTTTTTTTAATTTAAATAAAAGTTTTTTAAAAATTCCTTGAATTCATATTGGTTATAAATTATTGTTTCAAATATAAACAGGTAAAAAGCGAATTAAATTACTTCATACTTCTTTAAACAAGATTTTTTTTAAATTTAATCAAATTGTTTTAATATATAAAAATGATAAAAACTCTTATGTTGTTATTTGTTTATTTTCTACACTCGTAAAATCAAGTTAAAGAAATATATTTTTATCTGTTAAGAAAAGATAAATGCATACTTAAGCACTATTGAGTCTCTTCTTTAGATTAAATTGCAACCTTTCTGACAATTGTTATGTTATGAAGTAGCCTTTTATCACTTTAATTATTTTAGATATAAGTATAACTTTAGCCTCAGTTAAAGTGGCTACATAAATAAAATATCAAAGTACCAGCTTTTTGTTATGGTCTGTCTATAATCTGAAAACGATTGAACAAATACTTAGCCTTACTCGCGATTCACAAGTAGATATGCCGTTTAATTAGGAACTTCATCCATTGATTAATATCACAGCCATGAGTCAAAAAAAGATGAGGAAACTATTACTTACTTATTCTATTACTTTTGAGTATTCACAAAGAGATGTATATGTACACTGAAGCAACGCTTCCTCAAATGTGTGTTTACTAATACCAATATTGGCATTACAGATATTGACACAACATAGTAATTTCCTGATCCTACGTAGAAGTATCATTATCTAGTTCAGTCAGTGTGGTATCAATTGTCTATCAATTGTCAACTCTTCCTCAAATATGTGTTTACTAACATCAATACAGATTACATTACAAATATTGATATAGTGATTTCCTGGTTCTACGTAGGCGTATCCTTATCTAGTTTAATCAGTGTGGTATCATTGGGGTTTACATTGAGCTGTCTTTCAGAATGTAAATAAGTCGTGGCTTTAATCAAAATGGTTGGAATTACCAACTATCTACGTTGTTAAGCCACATAACGATAATAAATTTAAAGTATTTGTTAAAAATAATTTAAATATCTTAAATAAATAAAAAATAAATTTCAAATAATTTTAAAACTTTAACTGCAAAAAAATATATTAAACAAATAAATTGAAATAAACGTTATGAATATCCACTAAATGCAGTAAACTATGTGAAAACTGTTATAATAACTAATTTGAATCCTCAATTTTACCCAGGTGTGGCATGGTCCAATCGAAACTATGATTTTATTATATTCTCCATGAAATTATAATTCTATAAAAATTTTATTCCTTTTGACTAAGTTAGTCACCATAGTGATTTCCTGGTTCTACGTAGGCGTATCCTTATCTAGTTCAATCAGTGTGGTATTAATTGTGGTTTACATTGAGCTGTCTTTCAGAATGTAAATAAGTCGTGGCTTTTTTCGAAATGGTTGGAATTGCCAACTACGTTGTTAAGTCAAAAACCGATAACAAATCTAGAGTATTCGTTAAAAATAGTTTAAATATCTTAAATAAATAATAAACAAATTTTAAATAATTTTAAAACTTTAACTGCAAAAAAATATATTAAATAATTGAAATAAAAGTTATGAATATCCACTAAATGCAGTAAACTATGTGAAAACTGTTATAATAACTAATTTGAATCCTCAATTTTACCCAGGTGTGGCATGGTCCAATCGAAACTATGATTTTATTATATTCCCCATGAAATTATAATTCTATAAAAATTTTATTCCTTTTGACTAAGTTAGTCACCATTTTAATCAGTGACTAATTTCCTTTCGAAATGCCTTCAGTTGAGGTAAAAATTTCAAGTGCAAAAATGTAATAATTTTTTTCCAATGAAAATGGTATGATTTTGAATTCAAAAATTCGCATATGTAAAGAAGGCGACGCAGTAATTTCGGCGATAATTTAATTAAAAAATTTAATCAAATTAAAATAAAACAAAAAAAAAATCAAAAATAAGAGTAATTAAAAAATTTTTGAGCAAAACAAAGTGTTTGAACCGCAAAATAAAACGCGCAGAATTGTCAAATGCACCCAGACTTTAATACAACAACATAAGCGGTGTTATTAAATTACAACAACTAACCGAAAAAAAAAAATTTATAGCAAAATCAAAAAAAAAAAATTAATAAAAAGAGAAAAACATGGGAAATACGTCACAAGGCGTAGAACTGAAATTGAAATTTGAAATGAACTTCACTGAACTGAAGTGAACTGCGGTGATTGGCGCTGAAGAGAATTTAACTGAAGCACCGTAGCACTGAAGCAGGTTAATGAGAACGAAATGAAGCAGAAAACATACATACACACAAACAACAACAATAAAAACGAGAATAAGAAAACTAACAAGTAACAACAAATTTTAACAAAAACAACCAGCAACCAAACTGAGTGAAGCAAAGAAGAAGAGTACAGAAACAAAAAAAAACATTATTGCAAGCTTTTGTGAAAAACGCAACAATTCGAGATCAACAACATCCACAACACTTACACGCAGAGATTCTTTTGATTCTGGTATATAAAGAAGCTGAACTTGAATGGATGCCAAACATTCCTGCTACAGCAAGCAAAGCGAAAGGATTAACTGAAGCAGTACTGAAAAAAAGTTCTAATTAAATTATAAGGGAAAACAGTATTAAACAGTAAAAAAGGGCAGTGATTTTTTGTGTTTGTGTGTTGAAAAGAAAAATCTTTCAAATCCATATCAAAATGTTTAGAAAAGTGTTGCTATTTGTGACAATTGTGGTGAGTAATAATTTTATAAGAACTTTATGTTCTAAAATATAACAATTAAAACAACTGTTATATTGCAGTTGAATTACTATAGTGTCATAATTGAAACGTGAATAAATGTTAAAAATCTTTGCTAGTTAAATGTAAAAAGAAGTTGCAAAACTTATAAGTTTCGTGCTATAAAAATGTTACTCATACGAACTGGTGTGCCTACGAACGAGCATTTGAATTACTCATAAAAAAGCTGATCGAAAAATGTGGTTATTTCGATATAATGGCTTTTATATAAAAACTTATGACTTTTAAAAGAGTTTCTTATGGAAGATTCAAACAAGTGATTTAACGACCATTTATTTGGTATTTACAGTTATGTTGTTGATAAAAACATTGTGCTAGTGTTATAGTCTGCTATAAATAATTTTCCATTACATTTTACTATAATTTTAACAAATTTATTAATATTTTATGTAAATGCAACATTAAGATATTTAATATGTTTTCCTTAGTAACCACATAAGTACAAGCAAAACGTTAGAAACTTGTTAACACTTTTTAAGTTGCAAAAATATCAAAACAATAAAAAACACTCCTACAATTTTTTATTCACAATTTGTTGCTGCTTTAATTACTATTATTATTATTGTTATTATTATTTTTATAACAATGACTATACACTCTACATAGCCACAGATGCAGACTTTGTTGACCTTTAAACTAGACTTGGAATTATGGCAATTAATCACAACAATTAAACATTGAATTTGTGGTATGCAAAATAGTTAAATTTGTATCTTCTTTAATTGTATGTAAAACAATGTGAGAAACACGCCTAATAGATTCAACAATCTGAAAATATTCGATTTAATTTCTTAGAAAAAATTTTTGTTTTTTCTAAACTATTAGAAAATCAATCAATTATTATTTTTGGTTTGATTTCTGAGCAGTAATAGATTTTTTGTTTTATTTATTTGATTAATTGTAGTGGTTATAAGATAAGAATCTTTTGTAGCAGCTGAATTAAGAAAGCCTCAATTATTACAGCACTACGGCTCTTTCTTTGATGTATTTATTCGTGCATATCACAGTAGTTCAATATCCTGTCATACTCTCAATAATCTACCAATACACAGTTAATAAATTTTCCATTCTACAATATTTTTATATACTTTATATTTTATTTTATATATTTTTTATACTTTACATAAAATAAAAGAGTAAATTCTAAAGAATATTTTTAAATAAAATTTTATTATTAAAAAAAAAGTATTATTAAAATGTATACCACTTTAAATATAACCAGATTAATAAAATTTATCACAAATGAAAACCCTCAAATTAACGACTGTTTTATAATATTTCACAACAATATTAAGGGATTAGCCTAAACATCTTCGATTGAGTTACAAAGTTCAAGCAAAAATGATAGATCGATAGCAATCGAAAACGACATTAGCAAAGACTGTCAGGTTTCCATTATAATTGCTTTTATCAAAGGCAATATTACAGCGATATTACCTTGATATTAGCTATTATATAGGCACATTATTTAATTTATAAAATTTAAATATTACAAGGTTTATATAGTAAAGCAATAGTTTTAATGAAATACCTATTCCAAGTCACACGAAATAGAGAAACAAAAATTAGTTTTAGATTATTCATATTATTTTATTATCGAAGAAGAATTATAATCAGCATCTCAGCACGGGAATGCGATCTATAGAGACAACTGCCGTCTTTTATAATATTTTTAAAGAAATTCAATTTTTTTTATTTATATATCATTTAATATTTTATTTATATTATTTTGTTATCAAAGTAAATTAATAATCTGAATCTGAACATGGAGATGCGATTTATATAGCCTTCTTTTATAATTGTGTCTTGAAGAAATTAAATTTTTTTTTTGTCATTCATTCTCATTCATTATAAATATTATTCATATTACTTAATTATTAAAAAAAGTAAATATAATCAGAATCTCAGTAATGTGATTCATTTATCAGCAATTTTTGCAAAAAATAGATGCGGCACCAAATTTCTTCCATAAAAAATGAACAAAAAACGAGAGATTAAAAACACATCAAATGATTGTGTTAAATGTCAAGCAATTGTCGTTTAAATGTTTCTCAAATATTTTTCAAATAAAATTTAAATTTATTAAAAAAAAAACCAAGAAATTTGCATAATTTCAAGCCGTAACACAGAAACTGAACTCCAGTAGAAGTTCATTACACGACAATAAATTATTTCGCATATTTGCGAAATTAGGCATTCACAATTTAATTAATGTTTTGTGATTTATTTAGAACAGGATTTTTCACCTTTAAGCTCATTTGTATAAACAATTTACATAAAACAAATATATTTGGTAGTATTTTGATATACATATACATGCATGTATATATATATTTTTAAGTTAACTTTAATTAATGAAGGCACGCGCTATTTTTTTATACTCATACATTTTTGTGCTATTTTGTCAATAATTTACACAAATCAATAATTATTGTGTGTTTTTCATTTACAGGCTGTCATCGCAGTGTGCAGAGGCGTACCCGTTGATTCCAATTCTAATCAATACAATAATTATAATAATTATAATAATCAAAATTATGGCAAGTATCAGGTTTCAAATGAAAACGCGAACGATGGCAAATATCATGCAAATAATGATGGCAGGTACCGTCCATCACAGAATGAAGGTATTTCGTTAACTTGAACCGAATGGATTCGGATTGCTTTTTAATGCACGAGTAGCTTGAATTGAAGTAGATGTGTATCTCTTAACCCTTAAGTTGGAGCAATTTTATTAATCATATACTTAATAATGTGTAGTTAATTACTAATTTATTTAATAATCTATTGAAATTAATATTTTTTAAAGATTTTGTAGCAACGCTAACAAACAATCAAACCAAAACAATCAAAACCAATTCAATTACACAACACAATACCAATTACTCAACAAAAACAACACAACAATTAAGCAAGCATGCCTATACGCGCTTAAATTACACAAAAAATTACTAAAATTTTAATTCTATTATTATTTGTAGTTGATATTTAATTAAAATTAAGTAGTGAAAATTAATTAATTAATATTTGCATGTCGATTTATTAACACGTTTGTTCAATTGTTCTGTTGTTACTTTGTCAATAAAATGGATTTTCTTCTAGGCCAAGAAGGTGGCTACTACGATGCAGCTGGTAAAGATATAATCACTTTATAAAAATATAATATCACAGCATACAAAAATACTTAAAAAAGAAATAATTATTAAATTTGGCCAAGTAATCTGTGATATTATATACAATTCAATATATATATATGCAATTAATTATCACAAACCAAAAAATCAGAGCACACAAAAATCTCAACTCAACCATTCGCAAAACGAGTTCATTAGAAATCACTAGAAATTACAAAAGCTTTAGCTCTTCGCTAAAATAATTTAATAAAAAATATTATTTTAAATGATTTCAAGTACAAACGACTATGCAGCGTCTTTGATATGAGAATTAATTGCTTAGCTATAATACCCGAATTTTTTATGCATTTCACAACCTTTTTATCTCCTCTGAACACATACAAAACACATCACACGAGTAACACTTGACCATATACTTATAAATTATTCCTTTTAGTCTCCTTTAAAAGCACACAAAAGTACTCCACCAACATATCACACTAACAACACTTAACCATGTTTTTGACCCATTTTTAAACCGAATCTATGTAAACCCACAAATTATATATATTCATACAATTAATCGGCTTCTTAAATCAATACCCTTAATTAAGAGCACAAATACAATATATTCCAATAATTTCATTGGAACCTCACGTTATTCAGTTCATTGAGCTCCATCCTTAATGACAACATAAATAAAATTAATTAAAAAAGTATAATTTCTGTATTCAATACTGTCATATTAATATCAGTAATTTGAAGAATTATGAGTTTATTGAGTTTAATTTCAATTATTTATTCTAAATACAACAAAAGTTAATACGAAAGAAATATCAAAATATTCATGCAGTAAATTACTTATAAACTATATCTCAATATCTCAGAGCAATGTATAAAGTAACATCTCAGCTCTCGTAGCTATACCTATTTAATACTTAAAGAAACAAAACTTTAAATAATATTTATAGTATATGTTCAATGAGAAAAGTTTACTCATAATATATGAACTGTTACTTATATCCAAAAATAATAAAAATGTTCCCATTAATTTTACCTTCACACTGGACCAAAAACAAATACTGCACAATCATCTGCTAACTAAAGAATTAGTCGTATCAATTTAAAGTTGATTAAAAGTCAAGGCATGGTTAAGACAAACTCAAGTATAATTAAGCTAAAGCTAATATATAGCAAAACCAAAGTTAAGCCAAAGTAAACCTGGTATAGTTAAACTTAAATTTATATCACAGTTAGGTTAAAGTTAAGTTAAAATCAAAGTTTTACGTGTTTTTTGGATCAAAGTAATACTCTTATCTATAAGCCATCACAAATTGTACTTTAAAATACAACAAATGAAAGCAAATAATCGAAACCTTGATGTTATCAGAATCCTGTGATCCATATAAGACACTGTGGTGGTTGTATGATACAAAAACTTCGAGATACTTTTTTGACCTCAGTCATTAACACATATGAATATTATATGAGATCAATATAAGCTATAGAACTTTAGTACAAATTAATAATCAAAATGTTTTTGTTTTAATTAAAAATAGTATCTCTAAATAAATGAATAGTGTACTTAAATATCCTACTAAAAGAACTTCTTTTAAGTCAAACTTTTCTTAAACTATTGTAAATCTTTTAACTAAAATGATTAGTTAGTTATTACTGCAATGCAATTATAAATAAAAAAGATTAATTTTTATTAGCATTTAAATTAATACAAATTTTATCTAACTTGTTTAACAATTTAGTTTGAGTGTAACACATAAAACATATTTACATAAAATTAATTCACACTTTACAATGAAACTTGTTAACGTGAATATTTATAGCTGTGGTTATGGTTAAATTAAAATGAAATTAATTTTTATTTCTTAATTCTAATTTTTATAGCATAAAAATGTGTTAAATTTTCTAAATTGTTTATTGGCGGTAATAAATATTTACGTAACATTATTAATTTCATACCACAAAAAAAAAAACAAAAAACACTTAACATAACATGCACTTCCCATACAGAAACTGTCAACTCATTGTTTTGCTTTTATAAAAAAACAAATTTTTATTAATGTTCTGACGAGTTTTTATAACACAAATCGGTTTTTTCTTCTTAATTTTGTTTACAGGTCGGTATATACAAAGTACACAGCCTTACCGTCACGTACATGACAATCGTGAACTTGGCTTCTATGTGCACGTACCGTATCCTTATGATGGCGGTTATGGGCCTTACTCGGGTAGCAACATTCCCTACGTGCACGATGACAGGCCATACGAGTAAGTAAAATTATTATCTATCACAAATCAATTTTCTCTTCTAAACTGAAAGTCTCCCAGAAAGGTAGATGACTTAATTAAAGAGGGTCGTGTAGCATATTAATAGAGAAAAAGGCTTTTAGTGGAGCCAAATACCGCGGCCATAGTAGATTTTTATATAGTGCTGTAACTAATATTAACCAAATTAAACACATTCAATTTTTCAAATAAAAGCAGCTACGAGCTTTTATCCCAATATTCTTTATTCTATTGCTGGTCCGAAAGTCACTTTAATGTCACTACAAAGAAGTAATATATTTCAATGTTTCTACTGTGGAGACGCTGTAATGCATATGAGAATTACATATCTCTTATGGTTAGATATCCAAAGTAACAACATTTAAAATGTATTTTTAATTAACTTCTCAAATTCAAACTACAAAATATCTTACCTTTATAAATGGCTTTATTATATGTAACGCAGTAAATAATTATACTAAATATATTACGCAAATTTGAGAAACATTTATACTAACTCCACCCGCTGCGAAAGGTCAAATGTTTTACTCACTTATAGTATTTAAAATCCATTTAAAATTTTGCTAAATCTAACCAATCTGTAAGAATAGCAGTTTAAGTATATCGAAGAATTTTTTTACATACAAAAGCAATATCCAATACTAGATAAGACATCATCATTATTGTTGCAAATTTGTTGTTCGTTTTTGTGCATAGTTTTTGTATTTGTATTGTTGCTTATAGTTTTTTATTGTTCACAATCTAAATCAAACTATAAATTAAATTTCTTGATTTAATTTTAGGTTTCTAAAATTTGTCTTTAAGTATAAATTTCGTTTCTTCCTGTCACTATTTCAAACATTCTATATAATGAACATTAATATATATGGATAAAATAGTATATGTGCAAATTTACTTTATATATTTACCACTCTTCAGTCATTTTTAATTTTATTATTATTAATTTTTATTCTTTCCTTCCTCGTCTCTAGTCACAATCTTTACACAGTAAGTAATGCTGATTATAAAGTTCCTGAAATACGCTTGGAATATGGTTTCCCAGAGCATGAACCTCAAATCGATTCACACAACTCAGTTAGTCACGATGATACCACAAAAGATGTTGTACCAACAACATATGCACCTCACATATAAACGGCACATACATTCACATACCACACATACTTAGACATCCAAATATCCAATAAAAGTCAAAAATCCCATAGATATATATTCCTATAAAACAAAGAAAGAAAAAATAATCAAATTAATCTAGTAGTAGTTATTATAATAATTTATTATAATATTTATTTAATTGAATTGATATTAATTAATTCAAGCCAATTCCTATGGAAGCTGCTGTTAAGTTATCCAGCTGCATCCTAACAACTAACTCCAAAAAACCTAATGACAAGTATTCCAATAATGCAACCAATTCCGTCAAATAAGTAGACGCATAACTGTTATACATTAAAACATTTTAAAACATTTTAAACTTCTCATACATTAAGCTTAGTTTACATTTAATACAATATCAATAACATCGCACCCGTTCCTGATCCATGCACGATTTTTACCACCCCTTCCAATACACCACATATCCACAAACACACACACAGCAAAGTATACGCACAGTTACAGAATTCTACATTAAGTTACTTAACTAAAACATTACAATTTTTCCACAAAATAAAAACCAAAAATATTAAACTTTTGCGATGACGTCAAATAATAACAACCACAAAAACAAAATCATCGTCATAACAACAACAACAACTTTAACAACAATTCCAACAACACAACAATATGAAACAACTAAACAACATCATAGACAACAACCACAAAGAAACCCACTACCACCACAAAACGCACCACCACCACTACAACAACAACGACCACTACGCCACGTAATATACTCTTCAACTATGATGATGAAGGACGACATAAGATATTGCATCAGGAGGACGCACGTAAACACGACAAATACGACCATGCGTAAGTATTAGACAATTACACTGATTACAGTTATTACAGTTATTCTTCGCGGAAGAAGACTTTATATTTAACAAAAACAGCAAAAATTCAGTTCGAATTAAATTTATTTTTATGAATTATAACAGTGTTAGCAGCAATAATTATTGTAGGCGTTGCCATTGACAATAGTTGTTATTTCATTTCTCAGTCATTTTTTTATTGGGAAAAAAGTTTAAAATACATTTTTTTGTTAATGCTTCAGAAGACATCTATAATATTGTAATGAATTGTAGGTGTCTTCCAAAAATTAAATATATTCTCTCTTATCTATACATTTATATATTATATATATACTATATATATATTAATAATATATTCATATATTACTAATATTTTATAAATATATATTTATATTTTACAATATAATTTTTTACATATGTTTTAATCCGGCTATAAATGCATTATAAAAAAACACGTTGATAACTAAATTCAATAAATTTTATATTTTATAAAATTGTATTATATTTTATCTCTGTTAAAAAAATTATATTAATCTTATCTTATATCTTCGTTCTAGATACTTAACTGAGAATGGCATCTATGGTGAAGAACAAGCGAAATTGCATCACGAAGGCGGCACTCACGCCAAGGGTTACTATGAATACACTGGTGATGATGGTAAATTGTACCGTGTCAACTACAAAAGCAACCACGAAGGCTTCATGCCCATGGGTGAACATATACCCACACCACCTCCAATTCCAGAAGCCATTGCTCGTGCCTTGAAATGGGTAGATGAAAAACGCAAAGCCAACGGTGAGATGCCAATGTTTGACGAACGCGGTTTCCGTATTGACAAAATGATGACCAAAGACATCATGGCAAAAATCAAGTCCATACATGTAGAGGATATGCCAGCTGAAATTGGCGAAAAAATCCGTGAACTACAAAGGGAAATGGAATTAGAGGAACGTAAACAACAGGAATGGGAACGAACACACTACGAAAGCGAAACTGATGCTGCTGTTACTGATCGGCAATATTATGATGATGCCACAGAGCAATATTACGGTTAAGACGAGTTAGACTAAACAAATAAAAAAAACAACTCGTAAACAATTGTGATGCCACTTCAGGGATTAAAAAGCTATTAAGTTTATTTATTTTAGTGTTAAATTGTTAAAAAAAAATAAATGTTAAAATTTTATGAAAACTCATTCGAAATCAAATTCATAAACATTTTCGTATCGAATTTAATTTTCTTGCCATTAAGTAACGAGTAACCATTAGAGTTGTGCTGAAAATACGAGAAATGTGTAATATTAACAAATTTACTTAAGTCACCACCACAACTTGTCATACTAAAACAATTCCCCTTCCCCACGCATTTGTCGCTCCAGACAAACTATAACAAGCCATCAAACAAAAATCTTTAAAAAAAAAATTATAATTATTTAAACAAAAATGTTTTAAAATTGTATTTAATTTATAATTTATAATTTAAAATATAAATAAAAATTGTTAGAATTTTAATTATTGAAATTGTGTTTTATTCTCTGCATTTTGGATTGCCTTCCTAATAAGTAATAAATTTACTAGCCGAAACGAATGGCGATAAAGGTGTCTTTCACTTCGTTTATGAGAAAAATGTTCTTACTTAAAAATTAAATTAAAAATTAAAAAATATAATACCAACAAAAGTAGTAAATAAAACTCATTTTAAACTGTTTTTTATGGTTTTTCATGGTCAAGATTCACGCACTGTCACAGCAGGCCATGTAAAAAAATTCGAAACCGCTTCGAGTTGTGGGTGTGCCAAGCAGGAAGCAAGTATTTAAAACTACAATTTAAATCTCTTCAAAACACATAAAATATAATTAAAAAACCTCAAATGATACAAAAAATTAAATACATATCTTAAATATAAGACAATCTACTAAATTTCTTTATTTAAAATGTAGATAATCTCGATAAGTGACAATTTTGAAAATTTCCTGCCATTAAAAATGAACACAATCCAATAAATTCCACGGCCTCAAATGAAAATGTGCGTTAATAAACTTGCTTCCAAGCACAACAAGATACATGTAAAAATTAAATAAATTAATAATTAAACTTATAAGAACGGAGTTCACTGCCTTAGAATTATTCAAATAAGTGCACAGAGTACACAGAGTATACAGAAAACTTATTAAAATTTATTACATTACACAAAGTAAACAATAAATTCCAATTATACGAAAAGCACTCACACAGAGATGTCAAGCACTTCAAATTAATTAAATAATATTTAATAAAATTTAATATTTATTTTGAATATTCCACATTTTAATCAACTGTCTACTTTTGAATAAACAACAACAATTATATTTTTTATGTTTTTTTTAAGAGAATATATTTATTTCAATATTTTTATGTAATATTAAATTGTATTTTAGATTCTTATCTCAAATAATTTTGTTTTGATGAATGAAAATAGAAACAAAACATACCAAGTTCAATGAACCCCAAAAATAAATGTAGCAAGTTTAGAAGATTATCTTTTGCAAGATGCTCTTAAGTGTATATGGAGCAATTTCAGAAGATAGAGCCTCTTTTACATGTTTAGTTGCGATATTGGAGCTGAATATTGTCTCATGAGTTGCTTTTGTTTTCACGATTAACTGCAACAAAACGTTTGGAAATTGTAAACAAATGTTATTAATTTATTTAATATTAAAAATGTTTCAATATTTTAATAAATATGCGATGCCTAAAACAAATATCCAAGGTTAAACGTAATCTAATAAACATAGCTACCAATATGCAAACATAGAGCTGCTGGGTTGAGTCTCCAATAATCTCGTGTATTATATTATATAGTAACTGAAAAATAAAAGTACATATCAATTATAAATATATATTAAGCAAACTCACTAATAATTATTAGTTTACCATTAAAATTTATCCTTTTTAGAAATCGCTACGGTTTCCTTTACTCAAGCTGCACTTTTTTCCATTGTTTTGCTTATTAAGTATTCTGTTTTTCTAAGCCAGTATTTCTCTAGCTTTATTTCTTATATAGCAAATTCTTCAAATTTCTAAACGTTCATTTGGCTGTTCTTCATTTTTATTTTGATTTATATTGCACATTAGTAGAATATTTCTTGTACGTTTATTTTTTGTTTTAATTTCATATATTCAAAATAATTATTTTAACACAAATTTGAACGAGTTTGCTATGTATTCAAATAAAACACTATATATTGAATGTTAGTATATTAAAAAAATGCCTATAGTTCCAAATCTAAAGTTTAATACAAACTTTACTTTGTAGTCGTATAAATTATTATTATTTATTTTTTTTTAATTATATTAAGGAAAGATTGGTTTTTTTTTATATAAAAAAGTATTTATTTATTTTTGCAAAATTAAAAATACTTTTGGAGTGTAAATCTCTTTCATTCAATAATATTCGGGTGAATAGTTTTCACGCATGTACCCAACAATTAACTCGATAAACCAATATTCGTTAATAGTTTTATATATTATTTTTTCTGAAATTGTTTTCAAGAGAATAATACTTAATTTTTAAAGATCTTCTTTTTGAGTTTATATCAGTCTATAGCGACAAGATTCTTTTGACTTATTTCTACGATCGGTATAAGACATGTCAAAGACATCGCATGTGTTCTTCTGTTCATTGTTTACTCTAGCTTATAATTGTACATAATGCGAAAAGTATAATAATCCTCTATAACAGGTCTTAAATATATATTCAAAGGCAGCCAGTTTTTCAGTTTTATTTACTTTTGGTACTCAAACATTACTTCAAAAATTTTATATGAATACGTTTATGGAACATGCGATGGAATCGCTTTGATCAAAACTGTACTTTTAAAGAGTAAAGTTGTCTACTCTCCAACTGCATGTTAGATTCACTACTATGTAGTGCATAGTTACCAACTACAACTATGTAAGCTAGTTTACTCCTATAAAGTAAGCAAGTAAGTATAAAGTAAGGCTTACATCGGTACATTTATATAGCTTAAACCTAGTCGTATTCTCGCTTTCAATCGCACCTCTTTTTTATGTAGATACTACATTATATTCAAATAGGATATATTTGAATATATCCTCTCAAGTTTGATGAGACCTAATGATTTGTATGAATTGATTACCATCGACTTCGTAAATTCGAAGGTTCGTTAGCTACTTCAGTCATTGATTCCATGGACTTATTAACCTGGAGAAGATGGTTTTCTTTTAAGAGAGAACATTCTGCTTAAATGTGCTAGAATTAAAAATTTAGTTTCTCTTAAATCTTCGCATAAAAATTAATTTGATAAATTATAATTAATAAGATTTTAATTTGACAACTATTTTTGCAATACATTTTTATTCATGTTTATTATAGTTAATAAACAGAAGTTGATGTTTTTAATTAAAGACATAAACATGCGTATACGTATTAGTTAGTATGCATGCCTTGACATTTTTTCAATTTATTATTTCATTCAATAGCAGTTGGACTGTTAAAATTAATATCTTCATTATAATTGATTAGCAAAAATGCGTTGACTTAATAAATTAAATAGGAGCAACTTTTAAACTGTATTAATTAAATTCATTAAAATTTTCGTAAATGCTTAACATAAAATATTATGAATATTGAACTAATAAATGGAATATTAACTAATTAAATAAATAGTAGCAAAATATCGTAAATCGTATGTAGTTAATATATAAATTCTTATGCATAGAATTTTAGTGAATGCGTCAAAATATCCGTTATACTTATTTCTTGGCTCCAATAATATTCTTATAATTAATATCATTTAGCAAATTAACTAAATTTATTATCATTTAATAAAGTTATAAATATTTTGATTTTTAGTGTTAATTAAAAAATTAAAAACTGCTATTGCCATAGCGTGAACTCATATTTCATATTAATATCTTAATTATCTGTTAATTTATTTACATTTATAAATAAGAATCAGTAGTTTTTTTGTTAATAAATATACAAATGAAATGAAAAAAATTTAAAAAATGGGCTATATATTTTATTTATTATTAAATTTATTATTTATTTTTTAATCTGTATTATTCATTTATTCATGCATAATTTCTTTAAAATTAGTTTGCTTGACGTATGAGTTACATTATTTTCATAACATATTTTTAGGCAATTTCAATACATATAAACATTTAATTTTTCAAAGATAAGCTTAATATAAAAAGCTTTTCCATTGGATACGCCCAAGCATAACTGTTCGTAGTAATTATTAAATTAGCTCCATGTAATTCAACTGATATCTGATCATTTCTATATATCTGTCAACTTTGACGTATTCTGACAAATGGACTATGCAAAAATAGTTCCTGAATTTACTATTCTTAAAAATTATTTTGAATATTTTAAAAATTTTGACTGAATCTCAAAGAAGTTGATTTAACTTCTTGAGATTCAAAGAAGTTGGTTCAACTTCTTGATATTCAAAGAATCGAAAAATAAGAAACAAACATTTTAAATATGTTTATTACATATTAGAATAATTGCTAGTTTGTACCACTGTGGATTATTGTCGTCCCATTTTTTGACTAATTATAAACTGTTCACAGTAGGACTTCCTTTCCTCTTTCCTATTTAAGAAACCATATTGACTCATTAATGAATTTTGTAAAACTTTTCCATTGCAGTGTAAATGCAGGTCCACAGACATTAGATCTTAAATGATTTTATAATCCTTTCATATTGATTTCAAAACGTTTCAAACATCACTCATATAGGTATATGATTAGGATATATTGATTTGAACTTAACAATTGTTCAAGAACAAATATAACATAATAATGGAATATGTATGGTCATTCATAACTTAGCTATTTTTATTACCCCACTATGTATTTTATAATACTAGCATTCTAGTATTGATATAAAGTTGCTCTAAAAGATATCAAGGGTAAAAGAGTTATTAAATAAAGTCTAAGTCAGTACGGAGAAAGTTGCTATTTCGAATATTTTGTAAAAAGTATTAAGAGTATAAATCAGTTCTGTTCATTTGATAGTATATGAATCAATTCAAGATCTAAGATTCAAATGGTGTAGGTGATTCAATCACCTATATATGGAACTATATTCAACAGCCTCGGTGCCAAACTTCGAAGCATAGCAATGTTTGCTGTAATCCAAGTCGTTAAGACATTTTAACGTGCAAATCTTTAAATTCAATTCTAATATTTATCTTGATAGAAAATATGATAATCTCTTACTTTGAAATCAAACTTTCATGCTCCTTAGTTATTTTCAACGGAAGTAATATACGACAACTCAATTGCTTAACGCTGAGGTGAATTTGATAATTCTTTGATGATTACTGATAAATAAACTACAATGTTCTGTCAACTGGAAGAACAAAGTGAATCAGCTCCTCTCGATATACGACATCTTTATCGTTGGGACTCGCGCCAAATATTATGTTAATCTATTATTATAGGCAACAAGCCTGTGAGGTGAATTTGATAATTCTTTGATGATTACTGATAAATAAACTACAATGTTCTGTCAACTGGAAGAACAAAGTGAATCAGCTCCTCTCGATATACGACATCTTTATCGTTGGGACTCGCGCCAAATATTATGTTAATCTATTATTA